CTCTCCCATTTACGCTTGCTGGTTGGTGCGAGGTGCATTCTGGGTTACCTGGCTATCTCAAGTCCACACAAGTCACCTCTCGATGCATCCTCGGTAAACGGGGCGGATCAAGAACACATCCGGGGATTTGAAGTGGACTTGGCTAGATGCGAACTTTGAATTGACCTTTCGCCGGCCCCTCCCACAAAATGGCCATTGTCCAATCACACATCATAGCAACCGTTACTGTGTGAGCTGTTCCGTCAAACAGTAAGCGGTGCGCCCACGGCGTTAGTAAATCGGACACATGATACCCCGAGAGATTGTCTGGAGAAGTTGTGTTTTTTCCCTTTCCAAAGCCCAAAACACAACGCGAGCGGTGCCTAAGATGTATTAAACAGTGTGGACGCCCCAATTCCAGTTAAATGTGTCGAACATGGTTAACTCGTCTCGCGTGCAGCGTGCGTGCGACTGAGATTAGTCAAAGAAGCACGGAGAAAGCAGATCAAGAGGATCCACAAAGGACTTACTGTACATTTTCTAAAGGGTTGTTGTTAACATACCATGATATTATCTGGGAAAATTAGCAGCAGTCAGCTAAGTTAGCAGTGCAGCACCGTAGACTACAGTTTAGAGGACGTTCGCAACGGGGAAAGCATGGAGCTTACATGACAACATCAGTATATATATTAATATCGTAACGAATAGAAATAACCTTAAATAACGTATGGTTCTCTGCCTCTTTCCGTCTCTTATGCATAACGTTAGTTACTTTTTAAACACGAAAATCGCATTCAGCATGAGCATGACACGCAATCGGTTGCTGTGGTAATGAACAACCTGCTTGTTAAAGCGAACGTGTACTCCTGTATCGGAGGCAAAATGAATAAATATGCAGCGCAAGTTATATATTTCGAACTCCAAACAATTAGCCACTGAACCAGTTTATAAAATCTTCAAGGCTGTGCTGGTTGCATTTGAGGTAACTTAGCATGGTCATGGGGTTTTTCTGATTTTTCTTGAGACTGGTAAGCATTAGCATCAATAGTAGTCGTGTCTCATTCATTTCTTAATTTTATATTTGGAATAAATCCCTCCACCGCATACCGTAACCCCTTTTGCTTCGATCTTGCTTGATATCGCGGAGGTATTGCTCCAAAAAAGGTCACTGACACGCACGGGAATACCCTTTGCCGTCATGGCAATCTGTCGCGCTGCCCGTGTTTGACCATTTGTTTGACGGAGGTAGCAGCAGTAACTAAGGGGGGCGGAGCTCGGCGAAAGGCTAATTGAAACAGTACTTCGCAAGCGACTGATGACATTTCACAAGTCCACAAGAACACAAGTACAGACAAGTACACATATTGAGAAACGGCCGAGGATCGAGGAGTGAGGAGGCTTCCTGAGGAGTCATAAGCGAGGATACAGTGCATCCTACGCGGAACTGTTACATTGACTAAACGTGACGCACGTGTCAATTCTCCTCCCCCTTCACATCGGTCACAATCATTTTAATTTATACTTTACCTTTGCAGTTTATATAAACCACACATCTCAGATATTTCAACAGTATAGTCTATCTTTATTATTATTTATTATGAATTACCAAACTTCAACAACATAAGGGCAGATCCTTTTAGCGCTGCTGATGACACTGTGGAGTGACGCTCGAGTGATCAAGAATTCCAATGGATATAAAAAAGCTTTTATTCGATTCCTCTGTCCTCCTTTCCTTTCCTCGCTTCCTTCCCTCACGTCCTACAGGGGGTGGAGCTGAGACGCAAGGAAAGGAAGCAAGGAAAGGAAACGAGGATCCACAAATAAGAAATGAGAAGCACCCCAGGATGCACAAATAAGAAATGAGAAGCACCCCAGGTTAATGCGCGCACACGGCGAGTACATAAAGACATTTTCAATGGATCGCAGATTTCAGGAGTCACCATGGAAACCAAGGGACAAAAACCGAGCTACATACTTCGGTGAAACTGAGTTGGAGGTTTTAATGCTTGCTTATGAAGACTACAAGCCATAACTTAAAAAAAAAAACAAAACAAAACAAAAAATACTGCTGCATCAGCAAAAGAAAGAGAGTTGGCTTGGCAAAAAATAACGGACAGAGTAAATGCGTCAGTTTTATAAATTATTAAAAGAAATTCTGTCATTAGGCAAAATTTTTTGGGGGCGTGTAAAAATAGACAAGTAGCCCACTTGTTGGCCTCCATACATTTCTTAATATTATGGTTGTAGCTAGGCTAATGCACATAATTGGCTAGTTATATGTTAGGTTCTTATAAGGTGTAATCCTTCAGGAACCAGAAGAAGTGTGAGCCAAGTCAAAATGAAACACAAAAACATTCTCCTGCAAGGTAATATTTTCTAAACTTACTAAACTTGTTACTGATGCCATGTAATTTAGTATCTAATGCAATTTAGTTTTCTATGTAGCCAATAGAAAGAAGGCTGAGGCCCGTAAAACAGGTGGGGTCCACCTCCACCTCCCCTCACCCCAGATGAGGAGCTGGCACTGTCCCTGAATAAAGGGCGACCTGTGGGCGATGGGGTACCAGGGGCTATAGTTCGTCAGACTCAGATACCAAGACAAGTGGCTTAGTAAAATGTAGGTGAACCATATTAATGCTTATGATTTATTGATGTGTTCACTGTTTTGTCAGTATTTTAATAAAGAAAATCAACAACACTGTCACCATTTTAAAAAGACATTTTGAATGCATTTTACAGTCATTGGTTCACTTGTGCAGTGTGCATGCTGCTTTGACTGCATATGCTGTATACTGTAATCTTATTACTAGTACCCTTAGATGTTCCTAATGTCCTTTTTTAAGAAAATACACTGAGTATTGAATATGCATGATTATCTTATTGGTTTAATTATCTTGCAGTTGCTGATGGCCACATTATATTATTGGATCCTCCTGCAACCCCACCCTCTGTCACAGTTGTACATGATTATTGTCTTTAGGTTTCTGTTTGCTAGCTAGACCAAACATCCTTCCTTATTTTCACTGAAGGATGGCGATGAAGAGTCCACTTCTGCTGTGACAGAAACACAAAAAAAAGGTGGTATAGAGGTGAGATGAATACAATGCATTCCCCCTCTTTTACATAAGAGAATAAATAAATGGCGATTTTAATAAAGCTGAGGGTCCATCTACCTCCACACAGAATCTTAGCAGTGTAAGAAATGTTCTGCAGTTCTCCTTCCTCATTTAAATATTTGGTCTGTGTTTGTATTACAGACATTTTCAGTCATGTTTAATTATTCTGTCTGCCTGCCAAAGAGCTGTATAAGGTCCACATTCAAAAGCAAATCAGAAAAAGTGACATGGAGATGGACCTTATAAAGCTTCAAATGGAGGAGAAAGGGCTGAACCTAAAAAAGGCCAGACTTGAAATTGAATTGCTGGAGCACCAGCTTAAGGTGGGAAACAGTATGTGAACATTAATCTGTCATTTGTTGTTGAATGAAATCTAAAGCTATAAATACAAATGTCTTTAAAAGAAACAAAAGAATCAATGAACAACACTTGACTGTTAACTGGTTTTAATTAAAGTGATTTTGGCAAATCATGTCTCGTACTACCCTGCCATCTATTTGGTCTGCTGGGTTCACTGGGGGTTCCTCTTGGCCATCTTGAAACATTAAACTGAAACCTTGCCTTCAGGATGCCTTTGGTCATTTCCACCTTGACCCGTGTTCTGCTGTGGGCCAGGTTGAATTGTGCCTGCGGTCCAGGCTCAGGTTCAGGGTAGGGTGTCATCAAATACTAGGGCAGACAAGGGTACCCTCTGTCCCCCAGCAAGTAACCACTGAAGTGTCCTATAAAAGTATTCAAAGTGTATAATTGCAAAAAAAAAAAAAAAAAAAACCTATTGTGTAAGGCTAAACATACCCTGTTGAAATTTGTAGCACAATGATGACTCTTATAGAATATTCTGGCAACATGTACAGACCCTGGCGATTTGGCTTCTTCAACATTAGTGATGATGAGGTGGGTTGCATCACATATTACCTAGTTAGTTGGGACCAATGGTTTACACACCCAAACATTTAGCACCCAAAAAATCTATTGTCACCGCACATGATGGATTGATTTCCTATTAACATAGTCTCCATTGACTGAAGGACCTTTAATGCATGAATGTGGGTTCTATCAATGCACCAAATCACATTTGGGAACCTTGAAATTGAAAGTTATCTAATTAGAAACATTTGAAATGATTGTGACTGTAACCAGTATGAATAGATTAAGTAAATGGTCTGCCATAGAATATCATAAAATGGGCAAACCCGCCACTCTATTATATATATATATATATATATATATATTATTATTATTATTATCCGTATTATGTGCTTCCACATCCACTGGATCGTCTTCAAAAGGGCACGCCATGCTCCGTCACCTCTCTGAAACAAACTAACCCTGCAACATAACCTGCTCCTGAGCAGGTTATCCTCAGAGAGTCAGTTGCTATGGTTACTTACATAACCCGAAAGTTACCTCCGTTTTTGGAACCGAAAGCAGAGGTTATCCTCTTACTTACTCCTAAACTTACCCGGGTAAGTCACATAACCTGCTTTCTGGAATACACCCCTGAAGATACTTCTTATAAAAACATTAAACAATCTAAAACTTTTGACCGGTAGTGTATATATATATTTAGATATATATATATACACATACACACATGTACACACATACACATTTATGCAAAATTATTGACCCCCCTGAAGACCATTGTGTTTGCTTTGTGTAGGTCATCCGGGTACTTTTTGCCTACTCTTTTCTGTGTACTGTGAATGACAGCTGTTTGTCATGACAACACTTTGAAACAAAGTTTCAAAGTGTTGTCAAAACTACTCTGAAACATTATTTGTATACACTATTTCATTATTTGCATACACTATTTCAAACACTATTATGTACGCGCCACTGGGCAGCAGTAAGCAGCATGTTAGTGTGCCATTGAGAACACAGCCCATGTCAATCGGAACGCCCCTAGTGTTTCGAAAGTGCCCATCACTAGATTGAGGATTGTCCTCTTATGCTTGCCGTATTGCGTCGAGGTTAAAGGGGAAAGTTTTCAGCATGGCGCTCTGAAAGCAAAACAACGCGAATATAACCAATTAAAGAGCAGAACAACTCTATATTTTCCCTTAAATTCCTACGGATTTCTCAGTGTTTCCCAATACGATTGATTTTGTCGTCTTTTCAGTAAGTATGCACTCTATCTGACTATCTATAAAAAGTTTGTTTGAGGTAAACGCATGGGTTTACCTCAGTGGATATCCGGGGCTTATCCCAGAGACATTCATGTGTCATAATACACGACTCAGATACACTTTAAGATATGTTGTAAAGTAATATTGGCAAAGAGTGTGTTTAAAAGAGGTAAATATTTAGCGACACATCGAGTTAAACTGATAACGTATTTTTACAAAGAAAGATATAACGTTACCAGTCAAAGCCCTACAGACACACGCATGCGTAACACACTGGTTTAAGTCGTTAGAATTAAACGTTAGAATTAAAAACACAGGTTACGCTTATATTTGAATGAGCTCTTGTATGCATGTAAACTGCAATTAGCCTTCTATTGCATAAATAATGTTATGTGGTTAATGTTATCAATAATAAAATTGGAATAGGATACGAAGTGATAGAAAAGATACGCAAGTTATAAATAGTTCACGAAAACCGTCTTAATGAATGAGCCATTGGTCATTTAGGGGATATTTACACGACACCATTTTTAGCTAAAAACGTAAGACCTTTTATGTCGTTTTAGTGGCTTGAAAACAAAAACTTTTGAAAATGGTTTTCAAAGTGCAAGTTTTTGAAAACGAAACCCTTATCTCTGTGCAGACTACAAAAACATGAGTTTGAGAAAATGGTCACGTCCTGCACATGCTTAGGCTGTTAACAATGTTTATTGTATAGGCTTTTTATTATTTTGTTCAAATGAAAGGATACAGATATTAACAGTATATGGACATCATCATTAGTGGTTATAAGAATTACACAAATCAACACATTTTGCCTTCTTGAAAAATGAAAGGTTACTTGCAACAGACTCAAGGATCATAGCCTACACGTTTTCGACAACTAGGCCTATTGGTTAAAATGTTTTGAAATTTTATTAAAGGAAGTAAAACGGGACCTTATATCAGAGGAGAACATTCTAAAATTGGGATTAGAGTGAATCTTTCTGCTGGCTTTGTGAAGATGAAATTTTCCCACAAGACAAAGTAATAATGCTGTATTATCAAGATTAACATCTTTGGAATAAAAATCAGACAAAAAAAAAAAGTATAAATTATGTAATTTGTGTCTATAGGCATGTTTGGCTGGAGTGCTCTGTGGTAAAAGAATGCCTTTTAGCACCTTGTTGTTTTGTAAATGTACTCAATAATTCAATCGATTTCGGTTAAAAAAGGTGGATACATTCAGGAACAAAGCAACTGACTGTCTTTATGAATGGGGTAGTGAATCATTAGCAGTGTTTACAAAATAATTTGACTAGTTATAGACTAGTTGCACCGTCAGAATAAAAAAAGTCACACATAACCGTCAATCGGAATGAATTGGCTTTCGAGGAAGAACTTTTGCTCTCGAGGTCCCCCTACAGTTGGGAAACAGTATTGTCCTCTACTACTACTGTGGTAAACTCTGTCATCCAACATGCACATGCATTTGTTGACAACCATGATAGCCCTGAACACTGTAGGAGGAGGTCACATGCAGTTGTTCTGCTTGTCGCGTGTGAAATGTCTTCATCCCAGGTACAGTGGCATATATTTCAGCATGTCATATGAATATAATTCCATGGGTTTTATTTTTTCTTACGACAAATGATCACAATGCTCACGTTTACAAGCCAGCGTCATTATAGTAGCCTAGTCTATTGGTTAACATTTTACTGAATCTATATGATACTTCAATGCAAAGTTTGAGTGGTAGATAATAACCATATCGTCAATATTATAATATCAAGCTACCATAAATGAATCTGCAAATTTTACAAATTGATTTTCATTATAGCTTGAGGCAAAAAAATAAATAAATAAATAAACGAATATCAAAGACATGTTAGGTATCCTAAAATATGATTTTGTACATGTATTGTTCCTCTATACTCAGTACTCAAGGACACAACACCCAGGCTGTAAACAGATAACTTAAAGGGTTAGTTCACCCAAAAATGAAAATTCTGTCAGTATTTACTCACCCTCATGTTGTTCCAACCCCGTAAGACCTTCGTTCATCTTCGGAACACAAATTAAGATATTTAAGATATTAAGATCGCTCCTGCATACAGTCCGTAGGCTTCTTGAGGGACTGGCTCTTGCTGTCCCCGAAAAGTCATTAAAGACATCGTTAAAATAGTCCAAGTGACTACAGGGGCTCAATCTTAAGTTTATCAAACGACGAGAACACTTTTGTGCGCAAAAAAACAACAAAAATAACGACTTTATTTCAACTATTCACTTCCTTCTCCATGGGCCTGTAGTCAATTAACGTAGTGTGATTGCGTAGAGCCACGTCAAACGTAGGCTCACTATTGGCCGACGCTGGTCATGTGTGTGTGATGCGTGTGACGTACAATAACAGAAGCTTACGCTATTAAACTAGTAACCTGACTCGCGCAGAGGGAGAAATAAACGAATAGTTGAAATAAAGTTATTTTTGTTGTTTTTTTGCGCACAAAAGTGTTCTCGTCGTTTGATAAACTTAAGATTGAGCCCCTGTAGTCACTTGGACTATTTTAACGATGTCTTTAATGACTTTTCGGGGACAGCAAGAGGCAGTCCCTCAAGAAGCCTATGGACTAGTATGCAGGAGCGATCTTAATATCTTAAATATCTTAATTTGTGTTCCGAAGATGAACGAAGGTCTTACGGGGTTGGAACAACATGAGGGTGAGTAAATACTGACAGAATTTTCATTTTTGGGTGAACTAACCCTTTAACTCTTTATTCTTCTTCTTACTCAGTCATCCTGACACTCTCATTCCTACAGTGCCCCACTGTGGCCATAACATGCCATTACATCTCCCCTTTTTAGATGAAAATTTAACTTTTATAACAGAGCCTTTAAATAACACATTACATTCAACAGTATGGTTACTTAGTTATTTCACTCACTTAACTTATGATTTTACGAGTTTCTTTAAATCCTTTTTCAAACTTAAAAACGTTCAAAGAGGAATAAACAGAAGATACTTTACTTCACCTCTACTACTTCACCGTGGTGTATGTGCCCTTTTTGTAAACTTTTTCCTAAATTAAGTGGAAAATTCAGTAAATTAGAATATAACTTTTCTAATGAACATTTCACTTTTCAAACAGAAACTTGTTACTTTTTCTCTTATCCTTCGTGGTGTGTATGCATAAGTTTCATGCTCAAAGGTCCAGTCTCTCAGAAGCCTTAGACAATCTCCCTGACCTAGTCACCGTCATATCACTTGATACTGGAGGCACTGGAACTTCCTTGAGGTGTGAACGGTTGCGTCGCAGTCGTCCTCCCTCGGGGGTCTCCACCTCGTATGAGCGTGGTGTAGGGGTGGGCCATATGGCAAAAATATCATATCACGATTTTTTTAGGAAAATCACGATTTTTTATCATGATTCTTTCACGATCACGAGTTGGTTTTAATATATTGCAAGTGGCTGTTCATTACAGCCAAACTAATGTCCCTATGTTATAAACAAAGCCTTAGGTAACAAAAGAAAAAAGAAAGGCATACATTTAGGCCAGTGGCGAAGATAAAAATCTTTGTCATTATTTTCTTTGTTACTAAAAAAATAAGACAAGATAAACATTACACAAATTAATATTCAAATTAAATAAATAGTGCTTTATTTTTTCAGATGCAGTAAGTGTATTTAGCAGTAGCATTGAAGAAAGTAATTAAATTAACAAATATGAAAAAACCCTAACCCTAACTACATAGACTTCACTGAATAAATTATTGATTCTTATTAAAGCTACTATTAAAGTTCTCAGTCAGTGAGTGATTTTCTCCTTGTGTTTTTTTTGTTTTATTAACACTAAAGGGATAGATCCCTCAAAGATGAAAATGGTCTTAATTTACTCTCTCAAGATGTTTTAAACCTGAATAAGTTTCTTTCTTCTGTTGAAAATAAAAGTTTTTTTGAATAATGTGGGTAACCGAACAGTTGCTGGTCCCCAGTGTATAGTTGTTGTTGTTTTTTTCTCTCCTGGAAGTTAATGGGGACCAGCAACTGTTTGGTTACCCACATTAAAAAAAAAAATCGTCTTTTGTGTTCAGCACAAGAAAGAAATTAATACAGGTTTGGAACAACATTAGAGTGAGTAAATAATGACAGATTTTTTTTTTTTTTTTTTTGTGAACTATCCCTTTAAGGAGAAGTGGCAGTAGGCTACTATTAATTCCTGTCGCTTTTAGACCAGCATGCGACGCGTTTAATATAGACTCGTATTACACCAGATATTCTCTCAAATGTTTGCTTTCACTTTAGACATAGCGTGTTTATGTAAACATTGTGTGTATTTAACAGTATTAGTATAGACCAACGCCACTTTTGCGTCATCGAAGGGTAACGCCCCCTTTTGGGGGAAAACACCTCTATACTGTCTATGGGAAAACAAACGGATTCCCATGAGAACAGAACTCGCACTAGATCTGCAAAGTTTCTTGATAGCAAAAATGGCACAAACTTAAAGAAGCTAACGTTACTGAATACGGGGTTACAGAGGTGTCCCTTTGAAATGGTCGAAAACTGGATTAATGACCCCACACAGCGGCCAAATATGGACTATTCAGACATCTAACGTTACCACTATCTCGTGGAATCACCACATAGCCTTTTTTTTTCATTAACACTCACAGTATGACAAACTAGACGATGAATGGATCATATTTAACTTGATTTAAGCTATTGACATAGTCTAATAAGGTAACGTTAGCTGCTAACAGCTAGTCTTTCTAATAGCTAGTCGACAACAAAACTGTCGATAGCTTAAATCAAGTTAAATATGATCCAAGTGACATGGCCTCATCGTCTAGTAGTTTGTCATAGGCTACTGTGAGTGTGTAAATGATAAATAAATAAATAAAAAAGGCTAGCTATACTTACTTGGTGATTCCACGAGATAGTGGTATCGTTAGATGTATGAATAGTCCATATTTGGCCGCTGTGTGGGGTCATTAATCCAGTTTTCGACCATTT